AAGGTTGGGAACCACTGGTGTATATACCATTTGGTAATTTCCATAACATGCCTCCATCCAAAAAATAAAAAAAAATGGGATGAGGGCATAAGGGGCAAAATGGCTAGATTTGCAGATTCTTAAAGCAGCCATTTCACCTTTTAAAACTTCCAAGAACTCTTGCCCAGATTGGTCCTGGCTCCACCCACTTTTAGGTTATAGCCCCCAGGTATGGCTTGCAAAGCCGAGCATTGTTTCTTCCTAGAGTTCTTGAAGACAGATGCCATTCTGCAGCTTTGCTTATTCATAAATGCATTACTTAGCAGCTGATTGAGAACTCAGAACAGGAGGGAAATAACTCTCAAGATCACATTTGAGTTGTTACACTTCTCAATTTGATTGGAACGGGCAGCTGTTACTTTGGGGAATGCTGACATTTGAAAGTGCACAATGCAATAGACACATTTTTTGGTAGGAGTAATACATTAGGATGAGAAGATTTTTTTTTCTGCCCATTCCAGAAACAAAATGAGGCTGGAGAATTATTTACGTAGATTTGGAAATCACCAAAACAATACTACAGTATAGTAACCTTCTAAAAAAGTGCAGTTCTCTTCAGCTTCCTCTTTCAGATTTACAAGGAGGAAAAAATGCTCCTCTAACCTCTGAACCAGGTGGATGTATGTATGTGTGTGTGCATGCGTGCATGCACACAGATTAGTATCTACCCCCTGGTGTATCTCTAGATGTTTTCCGAGAGATAAGGAACCTACAAGTCCCAATTTTATAGCTGCAGAAACCATGAAGATCTAAACTGGTCTGTAGATTTGTGTTCAGGTTCACCAAGAAATCCTAGAGCCACTATTTGTCATTTTCAAGGCACATAATGTATGCCTAGAGTCATAATGGTATCGCCAGCCGTACAAATTTATATTATAATTTTTTAAAAAAAATCTGGATCTTCAGGTTTCTTTTCAGTGGTTAGCAAACTTTTCGATTTAACTTAAAAGTTTTTAAATGTAATTTCCCCCTATTATTTAATCAGATAAGAGTTAAAATGCAGGCAATAT